CATTCTTCCTTGGTCCTTGTGCCGACGTGATTGGCAATCTGCTCCCAGTTGTCGTCGAAGCTCTCCAGGCCTTCGAGAAGCAGTATCAGCTCCGAGTCGGACCAAGGAGCATCCTTATCCGGAGCAATTGTGTATTCGCTATCTTCGAGCTTGACAAAGTCCGAGGCGTTGTGACTAGCAGGCATTCTGCCTTGTAAGAAACAATTCGGGCAAAGGTCGTACTTGGAGTCTGGCGCATTCGCGTTCGAGGTTGTTGGCGCTGACTTGGCGTAATGGAATCTGAGACGAGTGCAGTCTATGCCACAAGAGAAGCAATGGAACTTCTTTCTAGGCTCTCGGACCGCGCTTTCCATAGCCTTGGATGCGTCCGCAGCTGTACCGTTGGCGGCCGAGCCCTCTCCGTTGGTCTGCTTTTCCTTATCTTCAGCAGCTGGTGTAATTTCCTTGCCCTTATCATCATAAATGTTGCGGCGAATTTCAAGATTGAGATCGGCTTTGGATGCGGGAGTAGCGGAGGCAGCCCGGTCAGTGGCAGGGTGGGGCTTTCCGGGTTTGACAACATGCTGAGGACCAGGCTGGAAAGGCTGAAGACCTCGGGGTGTATCGGCGATCACGCGGAAATGCCCAGTGAAGGGAGGACCAATGTTCGATGGCCGTGTTTGAGGGTCAACCTTACAGGAGATCACGTTAGCTTCGGGGGATGAAGTTGTAGACAATACGTGTAAACTTACCTGATAGTTGATCAAGCCCCATTGCTCGAGGAATGAATGAACTCGCATGATAGCGCATACATCTCCTGCCAAGTTGCGACGGCAAGCAGTGACTGTGAGATACTCGATGGGGTTCAATCGATACGTGTTGATCATAAAATCACGATAGTCTTTGTAGACCGCCGGCGTCTTACTCCGGTTACGACCGTTGAAGAACTCCGCTAACGCCTTCTTTTCTATCGGATGAATTGTATGCATGTCGAACCATGTCGAATAGCTGGGAAGGATGATGGCGTGTGTTTGGGAGACGAGATGTGAGCGTGCCGAAGCTTCAAGCGCTGACTTTCCCTGCACTGTTTGTTCTTCAGATGCACCCTCAGCAGACGGCTGAGCAGTCGCATCGCCGGCTCCGTCGCCTCCCTCGGTCTCCTTCTTCGTCTCCGTCTCGGTGCCGCCCATCTCTTCATCTTCAGGCTCACCCTCATTCTGGGGCTTGGGAGAGGCGGGAGCATCTAGTGGATTATCAGTGCCCGAAACGTCTTCGCTTTTTTTCACAGGAGATTCGCTGCGTGATTGCGACCCTAGGCGGTTGCAGCAGTTGGCGAATCTGTTGTCTTCTTTCTCAGGGGTGATGTGGAGGCAAAACCTACCGGATGCATTGGCCAGTTCGGCTGGGGTATCTTGCGGCGCAACTGCCGTGTTAACATTGTCGGCAGCGCCGCCAGTAGTAGCAGAGTGCTCCTCCATTCTATTTAACTGGGATGGCCGCCGAAAATTAGGAGTCGCAAATGATGTCGAACAAGGCTCGTTGCCGGTCTTCAGAGGTCACTTCACTGGGGAAGACAGGGCGCAGCTGCAACCCTTGGTTGGGATTAATGCTTCAAAAGACAGAGCGACCAAGTCTCCCGGATAAAATAAAAAGGAATGGGAAGAGACGTCAAGCGAAGGATGTCAGTGAGATTGATGATGGATGGGAACATGGGATAACTGCATCTAGGATCGCAGGGTAGTTACCTCAAGTCGCGACACGGCCAAAAACTCGCGCCAAGAGCCTCACGTGAATTCGCCATTTTCGGACTAGCGCATATATCGAATTCCCTACAACAGCTACTACCTCAACTTTACCATGGCTACTTCCATAGTGTTTTAATTTCATATTAGAGAGCAGCAATGCTGTAAAACGGGGCTTTAAAAGCGGATACGGTGGTGCGACTATGATAATTTCAGACTCAGTTGCTTGTTGGATATAGTTCAATTCATGTATCCAAATACTGCGAAATCACTTCAAGTACTTCAAATGTCATGCTTTGAATGGCCTTTAAACCCCATGCACCCGGGTCCTGAACCTAATCATATTCATTACTTTCCCTGTGTGGCCTTGGCTGCCTCTCGGATTTTGAAAGCCTTGGAGATAGCAGGCAGGGCATGAAGTCTCTTCAACCACGCGTCGAGGTTTGGGAAGTCCTTCTCAAGATCGATGGCGTCCCCGGTGATTGCCGGAATAATCTGGAACCAAGGAACGAATGCGGCATCGACGTAGCTGAATTTATCCCCGACCAAGTACTGGCGATTTTGAAGGTACTTGTTTAGCACGCCACATACACGGCGGACTTCGTTGTAGTAGCGCTCCTTCGCGCTGTCCACCTTTTTTGGGTGGTAAATGGTAAACCACACTGCTTGGCCAAGGTATGGCCCCTGGCCGGACATTTGGAAATGGAGCCACTGCTTAGCATGGAAGTACTCTGGAGTGCCGGCGGGAAAACTGATGGCGTTCTGCTTATCGTACGTTTCGACCAAGTATTCGAGGATGGGGCCCGATTCCCATAAGGTGATTCCAGTGTTGGGGTCTTCGATCGCTGGGGCCCGGCCATTCGGATTGATGTTCACGAATGGCTCCTTCAGCTCGTCCACTGGGAGGTATTTCTGCTCGTATGGAATACCCAGTTGTTCCAAAATGGAAACAACCTTCAAAGGGTTGGGGCCGATAACATGGCTCCAAAGGACGATAGGCTTCAGAGGCATCTTTTAGTTTGCGCAAGGAGAACAGAGAGACGACTCAGTGATTGACCAGTAGAAATATCCTTTCTCAAGGAGCTTTGGTCTGATTCCCATCACAGAAGAAGCAGACAACGGCAGAGATGGCCTCTGTATTTATATTCATATCAGTCGCAACATCCTCATAGTTTCGGGGCCTCGTCACATTGAGCATGCGGGCAGTGCTTGGCTGCGACGGCTCACTGTTTGATTGAGGTACGAAGCCATCCGTTGAACATCGCCTCCTTGTAGAGTAAATTATTAAGCTCTCAAGCCCAAGTGGAGTGAGATATTGCATGCTGACAAATAGACCAACCTCATTGTAGGTTGGATGGCCCGCCTTAAATCAATTCATCAGCACTAGTTCAATCTTGAGATGCCGATAGTCGCTTGACCGATGTAATGGGAAGAATGCTCCAGATAGATTATCAATCAAGTTATCCTTGGCGATGATCGAAGTACTCCGTATATGGAATTGCACTTCCTCATTCGAGTCCAAGGGTATGCTTGAAGACCATAACCCCATTTAAGGCTACGATGTAGCGAGCAACGGTAAGAGACCTTGAAGATCTTGGAACTCAAGGTTGTGGCGATGATTGTGCATCTAGAGGAATCATGCTGCTGGTTTGTTCTTCGCATATCACTTGGCCCCGTTGTGGGGTATCCGCATGTTGCTAAATGGGACCTGCCATTGATATTGAACTTCTCCGCTCGATGAAGCAAGAAAATCTATTTGGACATTCATGTAGCCTTTGACCACACGGCATGAATCGTCATGCTTTTATAGCGCAAATTCTGACTGCTAGCCCGGCAGACAGACGACAATCGATGACTCCTGATGAAAAAAGACAAAGTGATTAGCAACTAAATGATTCAGTACACGGATAATAATATCAAAACAAGGCTCTACTATATTCGGAATAGGGATAGACGCATACAAACCTTCGAATCACAATTCTCAGAGTGCTTCCATAGACCAGATGATTGTGAGTATAACTGACATGACATTGAACTCAAAGAGTGCCATGAGAACGAAAGTCTTTTCCAGCTGTCGAGAAAAAAAAATTTACAAGGATATTGAAGCCATTCAATGTTCTAGTGGCGTCCAGTCGTTTTGATATGAGCGAAATGCATGATGTTCTATTCTTGTGATGAACAGCGTCATGTTTCGGAGTACACTTCGGAGCTCGGAGTGGGTCCAGCAAGCTCAAGGCTAAAAAGACCCTGAGCAGGCAACAAATGGCCTAGACTGGGCTACTGAGTAGATGAGACTGTTCAGCAGCTCGTGATGTCTTACTAAACGAGGTCGATGACAATTGAGGCTTTCACGAACTGTCTCGAATGCACGGCCTCAGTTTTCTTTACTCCGTGATATCGACGTTGACTCACGCGCTTATTTTTCCGAGTAGACAGCAACGAGTACGTGTCAGCCAAACTCAGGAATTAAGCTCGATCAACAGGTCACAGGTGGATCCATTCAGTCCGTCTTTGATTCGGGTGATTCTGTCAGATGTTGCCTTCGCAAGTCGCGATCCCTCATATTTCCATAGCTGCCTGAGGCTGAAACAAAAAGATACTCGGACAAGGTTACGCATTTTAACAATTCATCGTGAGATTTCCACCATAATGGTCGCCGTAGAATCTGATTGAAAAGGCATGGAAGTACTTGGCGTTCGAAAGTACGCACATTTCCAAAGTACGGTAAAAGCTGGAATGATCGATCTTTCTTTGCAGGTCCCTCGAGCAAAGCCTCAATGGTGGCTGACATGGGTCGACAGATCACGATCGTCATACTCCGTAGATTATTGGGCAATTCCATAATTATTAGGTGGCTGTAGGGCAGAAAATCCGATGATGTCTTTGCCTCTGATTCTAGGCTCGATGCATGTGGGTGGGTCCCGACTATTTTTTTCTTACTCCGATGTCATCGGAATAGAGCATTTGATTCCGGAGTAAAATATTGGTATACATCTTCACGCCGTCCAGCAAGTATATAAGGAATGTCGAGTATCGCCCTTCATTCTGGAATTCATCACTCATCCAGACCAAGCTCACTTGAATACAATCAGTTCCTTGACAAAGATCACAAACAAACAATCCTCACAACACCATCACAACAACATACCAGAACTATAAAGACCACCACAAACCAAACAAAACATCCTTCGAACACCAGTCTCTGAAAGCCTTGCTGAAGACCAAATCAAAATCGCATCAAAGACTTCTCCAAACCGGAAATCACCACTCAAAGCCAAAATGCCTTTCAGAACCTCCATGTCCTCCAAGTCCTCCAGCGACGCCGCCTCTACACGCTCCGTCTCCTCCAAAGCATCAACCCTAAAGGGCGTCCAGAACATGCACAAGAAGTGGCTCGCGCCGAAGCACAAGGACTACACCAACGCCAGCCCTTCCCCATGCTCCGCTACTGCTGAGCACAACGCCGCCGTCGCCAGCTATCTAGCTCTGCGGTGATTCCAATGCTCGGAACTCGCTGCTGCGCCCTCCATCCTGGTGACTGGATGGGGCTTCCGGAATGATACCCTCTGATTGCATTGAAACGACGACCAGACACGACAAATATGCTGCGCCTTTTCATCTTTTCTTCGGGGTTTATTGGAATTTGTGATTTGAGGCGAATGGCGTCAGGATTTCCATGGACAAAAACATTAAATCAATGATCGATAACTCATTTGAGCACTTTTGGATGCGGCTTCGTTGTTTCATTCTGTTCGGTTTGCATGTTGCTGTCAAGTTCGCTTACAATACTTAATAATTGCCCTAATACATCAATGCTTTGCCTGAAATCTATATAATATGTAATCTAGAGCGATTGTTTCTTGAAACAATGACTAGTGCTTTCTCTGCCCTCCTCAATAAAGTTCGTTTCCCTAGACATGCAATGCTAAGTAATATGCATAATCAGAAGAAGGCTAGTATATACACAAACCGGAACTCTCGCTATAGTCCGGCCATCAGCTCGTTCATGGAAATTGGTTTGCGCACAGCATTTGAAAAACCATCGTGGTACGTGATCCAGACTTTCCTTCCTGCTTTGGATGCTTCATTCTGCACTGGACTATCATCCGAGCTTTGCGGCAGCGGCTCCGGCTCCTTGAGGATTCTCCCGAAGAAGTCACGCTTGATGCCCGGAGCGTTTCTTATTGCATTCTTCTTCGCTGATTGGTCATCATCATTCTTCCCACTCTTGCCGTCCGAGGTCTTCCCGGCCTTGGACGAACTCAGGGCTTCGGATTGTTTCCGCATAGTCTCCTTGCGGTATTCTTGGTCTAACACTTGACGAACGGCATATCGAACAGGAGCAGAGCCGCCTGTATCTGCCGAGGTGCCTTTGGTCTTGTGGAATGTCACAAGCGAATCCAATGGCCTGTGGAACACTTGTTCAGCTTGGCCGCACAGCAGAAATACATAGGCAACAGGAAGTACTTACGGTTCCATACGATACGCCCAACCCCCATGCCCACCACCTTCACCCTCAATTCGGATTTTTTCAAATACCACCCCTAAGCCTGCCATGACTCGAACCGCGGCCTGAACAAGTGCCCGTTCGCTTTCTTTGCGAACACTGGCCACACTCTTCTGGTCCCCACCTCCACGCACCACAACTGGTTTCACATCAGGCGACAGCATGCGTATGAGATTTGGGATAAGTTCCGTGGTCAAGCAATCCGTTGAGCGGAATAATCGTAATAGAGGAGCCGAGAAAGAAGACTGGAACCCCGTAAGGATCGCGCGGCTCTGCTTTTGAGCTTCGAAGGCCGCAAAATCTGCTCTTGGACCCGAAAATGGATGCTCGTCCTCTTCATCGTCATCGGGATTCTTAGATATCCTCTTGCCTCCGACGGATGAAAATAGGTGGTGGAACGCTATAACTGACTGACTCAGATAGGGCGTGAGTTCCCAATCTTGAGAAGTAAAGATTTTCGAGGAGATGGTATCATGGAAGTGGAGCCAGTCATATGCGGCGTTAGGCTTGGAAAGAAATGTGTCGTCCTGATATGATTGAAGGGGATATGTAGCGAAACATTCAGATACGCAGCGGTCATGATCGCCACTAGCGTCGACCATTTCGCGCAGCTTATTGATGGCATGCCGTTTTCTGAGGTCCGCAACGCCGAGAGTTACGTTCCCGCTAGAAATAGCGAACGGGTCATAGAATGATTCAGCATTTATGGGAGCGTCAGGGAAACCTCCACCTTCCAAAAAGACACGATCCACAATGTCTCGTACACCTCCGCGGTTCAGCCCTTTAAAGAACGAGGCTTCAGCCGTGCCACTGAGAACCCGTTGTTCGAGCCAGCTCCTTGTCAGTCTGAGAGACGACAGATTTTCGTTTCTTAGCTTATGGGCCACCCACTCCGCAGCCACAAGCACACTTCTGATATCACCTTCAGCCGTCCCACTACTTTTGAGGCCACCACTTTTCTTCCTCGCCAAACCCCATGATGCCTCGCATAGCCGCCGCACACCGTCGTTGTCTGATGGAATGCCCTCCAGAGCTAAGATGTTCTTCAAGCGTGAGACGACATTTTCAAACGGTGCTTGGCGGACATGAATGATCTCGGCAACAGAGGAAGCTCTCAGGGGCCGTAAGCTAGGGTGATAAACATCGTTGCAAACCAAGATCAGTGGGCGCAAAAACCGGAACGTGTCGCCTTTACGTCTTTTCCCGTTTTTGGCATTCTGATCGGCTGAACGTGCCATATTCTTCTGATCGAGTAAAACGAGGTCAATTAGGGCCTTCATGAAGCCTCCTTCTCCGCCGCTCCCAGACCCGCTAACAACTCCATCGACTTCGTCAACGACGACGCACACTGGTCGCCCAGCCTTTCGCACTTTGCGATCTCCCACCTCCACGTTCACCCCTTTCACGTTCTCAGTGCCAAGAGCATCTCGAATCCGCCCCTTGACGACGTCTTTGCTGCGGTCATCACTGGCATTGATCTCTAGTACCTCGTATCCTGCTTGTTTGGCGCACACATGTGCCAATGTGGTTTTTCCGAGCCCTGGAGGACCACACAACAGTAGAACCTTACGGTGCAGCCGTTCGCCATCATCATTGTTGTTGCCCGGCCTTTTGGTTCTCGACTTGGCAAGATTTGGGAAGACGATCGGCTCCCAGCCCTTCAACCATCGCAAAACAGATCGATGGATTCGCTCGTCTCCAATGAGTTCAGTGAACTTGCGAGCGCGATATTTCTCTGTCCACATCGCCGCTGCCATTTTCTTATTCTTCTGTCCCTCAAGAGGAGCCTCGACAGATTGTTGTATCGTGCGGTCCGGCACTTTTGTGGAAGCTTTAGCCTGTTCACTTTCTCTTGCAGCCTCATCCAATATCTGATGGATATCAATGCCATAATAGCTCTTCTGCGCTCGCCCTGGTCCCGTAGTCGAGCGTCTTGCAACAAGCCTCTCGTATGAAACTCCGGGTTTAGAAGTTCTCTGACGGATTGTGTGTGTCTTCCCCGAGCAAGTCTTTATTTTAACCAATTGCGCTGTTCGTCGTGGTAAGTCATAGGACAGTGGGATCGAATCGCTCACGCTCGTAGTAGAAGGCTCCGTGTGTATAGGTCTTGAGACGATTTGTGGCAGGTCCACTGGCTCCTGGTCAATTAATTGCTCCTCCATCTCAAATTGGCTCTTCATTTGAGCATCCTGGAACGCCGCCAGCTCGTCCTCGTCTTCATCTTCTTCATCCAGGAAGCCGCCCATAATCTTCTGCCGCTTAGGCTCCATTGACTGTGACTGCTCATCATTCTTCCGCTTCTGCGCCTCATTTGGAGAAGCAGCGCGCGATGGAAAAGCAACCGGGGACGAGATAAATGGCATCTTGGTGACGGGAGGAGAAGAGGGTAAGTAAATGCTTGAGTTTATTTCAGGTATTTCATTCGGTTCGTGTAATGTCTTTCGCGCTCTTGTTGGAGTATCTGTTTCAATGTCAGACTCTCAGCCGTCCTCCACCCGCCCGTCAGCGCTGCATACCGGGTCTCACGTCCTCGTCGCTCCGAAAGACGTCAGATAGATTCCAAGCCCGGTGTTGTATAACAACTTTGTTACGAATGTGCTCTAGTCGGTGGAGGCTTAAGGCTTCGAGATCGTCGGAGAAGGTTTCTGAAAGAGGGTTCTGTTCTTCGGAGTGAAGGTGGATAGCGGGATCAAACGAAGGGGGAATCGATGGAGGAGAGGTCGTCATTAAGATCAATTAGAGGGGCATATCAATTCAATGGCACTATAGTAAATAAAGAACAACAAAGAGGGTAGCTACCAGCTAAGTCACTCCCCATAGTTCGATGAGAAGTGGGATAAGACGACGCGTTCGAGACGCGCCAGCGGGGGACGCGCTTGACCACTTATCGTTGCTATAGATTGCAGGCCACTCCGCATCTACTCCGTAGCACTCCGATAGAGAGTCCTCATCACACCTAAGTTCTTAAATCGCGATCGATAACTCAATTGAATGCGTGATCATCATCTATAAAGAAGGCTCTGCGACAGCTTTAGATAATATGTTGGGTGGAGACCACCCTCCTAGGTTGCTACGTTCCGTTCACCAATTCAGTAAATGTACAGAGTAGCAAGAAGTTTTTGGCCTGTTTTGTATACACTCGTACGATTCGGGCGCACGTTGATTTAAGGAGGCATAGGATGGGTTGTTAAGACTAGGCTCCAAATCTATCCCCTAGCGTTGGCGTTGCGTGGTATACAGTTATATAAACACCCCACCTGTCGAGGTTTGCATAAGGAAATGAACAACATGACAAGGCTCAATAAAAATCATAAAAAGGTACTTCCGCAATGAGATCTCTGTATTTACGCCTGGCTCTTTAGCTTCTCAGTAAGCTCTGGCACTTTCTCGAAAAGATCGCCGACAAGACCGACATCAGCAACCTGGAAGATAGGAGCATCGGGATCCTTGTTGATAGCAGCAATGACCTTGCTGTCCTTCATACCAGCAAGGTGCTGGATGGCACCGGAAATACCAGCACACAAGTAGAGCTGAGGCGCAACGTTCTTGCCAGTCTGGCCAACCTGGAGACTGTTGTCGGCGAATCCACTGTCAACCGCAGCGCGGGAAGCACCAATTGCAGCTCCCAAGGCGTCGGCAAGAGGCACCATAACGCGGTCGAACTCCTCTTTCGATTTCAGGCCACGACCACCGGACACAACACGAGAGGCAGTGGCCAGATCAGGGCGCTCGGATTTGGCAAGCTCTTCAGATACCCACTCTGTCTGAGCGGGAGCCTTGGGGTCAGCTCCCTCAACGATCTCGGCAGAGCCGCCCTCGGTCTCAGTACCTTGGAACGCAGTGCCTCTGACTGTGATAACCTTGACAGGGTCGGTCGATTGAACGGTAAGGATGGCATTTCCGGCGTAGATGGGGCGGACAAAAGCTGCATCAACGGGTTAGTATGCAAATGACTCATCAGGCAGTCCCCACGAGACACAATTCCGGGGATACGTACTGTCCTCGCTCTCAATCGCTGTGATATCGGAGATCTGTTGCACATCCAGCAGAGCCGCAACACGAGGCAAGAGACTCTTTCCAAAGGCAGAATGCCCCGCGATGACATGGGTATATTCGCCCTTCTTGATGTTCTCCACAAGAAGAGGAGCGTAGTTCTCGGGCAGCCCCTGGATTCCAACGAACGTCAGTACCTATAGAACAGCATATAGTCGCTTTATGACACCGGGTCACTCTAACCTTTTCATAAGCGTCGTTCTCCACCGCCACTACTTTGTCCAGGTCCTTGATCTTAGCTGCCTCGGCAGCAGCAGTTCCCTTCACGCCAGCGCCAGCCACGAACGCTGTGACTGATCCTCCAAGCTTTTGCGCCGCGGCGATTGCTGAGAGGGAAGAGTTCTGGAGTTTGCCATCACGCTGTTCAAGCACGGCTAACGTGGAGAGAAGGCGGGCAAGTGCTGAGGCTGCAGGTTGATTGAAGGCCCGCGATGGCTGGAATTGCGACCGGACGGCCCGCAGGGCGGAGTATCTTGCAATCGGAATCATCGTGCTATATTCAGAAGGTGATGAGACCTGCTCGGATCTCTTGTTGGGTTGGCAACAAGGATGAGTTTTCGAATGCGGGTAACAGGAATCAGAGACGCTGACGATAATTCCGACGGGCACAATGGCTATCGTCGGAGCGCCAAGCATCGCCGATCCCGGAGTGTCCTCGGTTATTGATGACCGAGCTGATGAGGCCTCTACAAATTTACGACCGAGTGGCTACGATTTGTACTCGCTTCTGTGAATATATTGCTCCCAAAGGGAGATTTTAGGGTGAGCTAGAAAGCATAAAGGGCCATATCAGAAAAAGAGACTTTTTGTTCTTCGAGGGGGTATTGAGAACACGCCCTGTGTCTATATCACAAATTGACACACGTGACATTAAGTACGCCGCGGTAAAACCCGTATCTTGGACAAATAAACATCCGTAGAACACCAGTGTAGAACCAATTATGAAACCGACTTTCTCTTCTTCTTTGAAAGCCCTGATGCCACTTTCTCTGCGGCTGTAACTTTCTTGTTACCAGACTCGTTCCCATCCTCCAACGCCTTAGCCTTCTGCCGCTGGAGCTTCTCTTTTCTTGCGGCCATAGACGACGCATCGTCATCCTCATCAGCCTTTGGCTTCTTGGCCTTCTTATTCTCCTCGAGTAACTTCTCGTCATCGCCAGTTTGCTTGCGCTTCTTGCCATTCTTGGCACCCTCGATAGCCTTGTCATCCTCCTCAGCATCTTCCACAACGTCGCCCTCTTCCACCCACAATTCGCTTGCCAGCCAAATTGGCATGGCCATAGTATTAGCTCCCTTGATGTGAAGAGCCTTGATGTTCCTCCAACCCTTCGTAATGAATTTATCCGTCAACCCCTTGACAACAGCGTCAACATTCTCGGCGAGCTGCTCTGGAGTAAATTTAGATGAGCCCACACGAATTGCGGCCGTGGTAGCAGGCGCAAGTTGTACGGCGGCGCAGTTGAGCGTCTTCTCAATTTCCTTGGCGACAATGGCCGGGGACGCGAAAGCACTGTCATCGTCCTTTGACTTCTTCTTCGGGTCTTTCTTGACCTTCTTGCCATCCACTTTCTCAATTTCGGCAATACGAATGGGAATTGGCCGCTTGCTTGACTTGTAGAACACTTTTCCGAGAGTATTTACCAGTCGCATGATAATCCGGTCATCTGCGAGGAAAACATCGTGCTCAGAGAGTAGCTGACGACGACTCTCGAAACTCTGATATCTAGCCTTGAGTTTTGAATAACCAATAATCCGCTCAATGCGAGAGGAGAGATGCTGAGGGAAGGAAGGATCGGCGACAATGTTCTTGACCGAGCGCTGAGGATCGGCGGTGATAAGACAGATACTTAACGACGGCGAGGCATTGAGGGAGTGTGGAATGCTGATTTTTCCGGGTTTCAAACGGTTCTTGTCGACAACGTGCTTCTTCGTGGTGAGCACAAGCCAGATAGCCTCGTTTTTCAGCGCAGTGTCTTCTTCCGAATCTTCATCATTGTCGCCAATAAGGGTCTTCTTTGTCGCTGTCTTTTCCTGCTCTTCTTGTTTGGACTTGATGTGTTTCAAGAGTGCGGAAGAAGCTCTGGCGACCTAAATTATTCGTGATTAGCAAAGAACTGGACTGTGAGGTTTACAAGGTGGTAGACGCGGTGACATACTTGGCTCTTTTCGAGCTGATAGGGAGACCCAGATTCCACTTTCGTGGTGAGCGCTGTCGAGGACACCATTTTCACAATCTAATCAACTGCAGTTGCAGAATTCGAATATCTCAATTTCTGCGATAAAGGAAATCAAAAAAATTCATGAGAAGGCGGTAGGCAAATTTGACCGGTCTTGGCATGGATGTATCTGCTTAGTCATGTCCCTCATCAACATAGCACCAAACGACATCGATTCACCAGCAAAACTCATGGTTTTCTAACCTTTTGAATCATCCTGAAAATTCATCTCTAGATGATGAAGCTCTTATATTCAGCTGAGAAATGGATGCCGAAGACATCAGTTTGTGCCTGTCCTCTCTTGGGATATCCGAGGTGTGACTAGGATAAGTAATAATCTGGGTGCCGGTAAATTTGCCCGAAGGTATGCTTCAGTCGACATACTTGAGATCTCCTGCAGATCATGCAAGGGCCACCCTATTCACGGTATGGTTACTTTGTGCATGTTCTTCAGAGAATGCTTCTGGCTCTATTATTCCAGGAAAGAGAGTCTGATTCGCATATATATGTCGCAGGGACGAACATACATATATACAACCGAGTCAGGAGGACGACCACTCTTTGGACAATCAGATAGAGCTTATGTGGTTTACAGGTCAGATATCAGCATCGACTTTGTTTCAGGGAAAGTCATGTTATCCGATGTTTGGCATATCCTAGTTCATCTTCCATCGTTTTGTGCTCGTGAATGATCCAAGTATGAACGTCTTGGGTCCAACATCAGCGGCTGTCTGAGTCCATCCTACGACTTTGCTTACCACCGACAGGCAAGCTTACTGAAAATGTGATAAGATCATCAGAGAGATAGGTTATACAGATAGATGTGAGCGGTGTAAGTATCAGCGACATTCGCCTTTGCGTCACCTCATTATGGTTCGTTTTCATGACAGCTACAACGGGGCAAATGAAGATGAAACACATTTGTAGTAGGGGCCTGGGCCATGAATAAGGTGTTTCTTGCATGGATCAGAAGACCTGGTCCTTCAATCAGTAATCACGGTATCACTCCTATTCCTCATCAGAACATTCGGAGCATAGTGCCGCAGCACAGTAGCCTCGGTTTTGCCTTGAGCGTACTATTGCATGCAAAATATATCTACAGGCGCTTGCAGGATGTCTGACGAGCTAATGAACTTAAACTATAATAATATTACGATTGACGATTTGTTTACGACTACGGAGTACTCGCATGGCAGATCTAAAGGAGTATCGACGAGATCGACAGAGGCAGAAGACTCATCTAGTTACTTGGTTGAGTAACTCTGGAGATCCACCCCTTGGTCTACCCTATCCACATGTGAGGGAAAGGCCTCGAATGTACCAGCAAGATAGTCCGTGTGCGTGAAACTGGGCCTCGAACTTTTCGTAGTCAAAATTGGCCCTAGACTTCGATCTTGATATTCATACTTACAGGTCAACATATTCCTGGCAAATTCCAGAAGAGTCAAGTCAAGTAAATGATATCTACTCTGTAATGCTCTCAGAATGGCCCCGCAATACTACCTTATGATCCCCCCACCCCCTCCCCCCAATGTATTCGGCAGCCAGCTATGACAACAGCCTTGCTCAACAGTCATCAGTAGCAGCACGAACAAGGGAGGAGATTTAAAATATTGCCTCCAAATGAGAGCAAGCCTGTCTGTGACCTCATATATTAGGAGAAAATGGATGCTCATATATTGACCAATTGCTGATCAGGTTTCTAAACCTCCTTCATAACTCCATTAATGATGTTGCCTAAGGTACTCTGTAGGCTGGTCCTAGTACCCACCACCATGGGGCAATTTTGGGTGCTTACCTACAGTGCTTCACAGGCCATATGTAGATAATAGGCACGCAGGAAGCTGCATGAATCAGGCCCTATATTTTGAGAAATGACGAATATCACCCCGTAAATAGCCCGCTAGCTCAAGATCGGGCAGGTCACTAAGGTCTTAACTAATCATCTAGAAAACTAGAAAATCGTCTAATCAAATACTCTGTAGTAGGTTCTTGAGGTAAGGTACAGGAGGTATCTACCTTGCTAGGACCAGCAGAGATTGCGGATGGGAAAGGTAAGATATGTTTAGTAATTCAAGTCATTAATTTAAGTTGTTAGGATGTCTCTCAACTATCAAAAGTTGAGTTATGGTCTTGCTACCTGCAATGTCTGATCTGCTCCAGCTAAAGTATTTTACCAAGGGAAACTACTGAGGTTACATGACTCAATCCCAAGATAGGAGGAGTCTAGGCTTTATTCACTAATTAGTCTAGATTGTTATTCCATCTGCCACCATGTCTGAGGTCGACTTCTTGAAAACCAGTGCTTGAACTTCATATTTTCTTTATTTATGCCGAAAGTTAGATAGATACTACTGAAAGAACCATCCCCTATTTTGCGGAACCGTGAGGAAGTTTGGATCCAATGCAGATCGAAAGTGGATTTGTTTCCACAAACCGCGCTTCCTCAGTCGCTGCGTATGGTTTGCTGCTTTTACTGAAAAGCGCAAGTACACTCCGCGTCATGGACAGAGCGGGAATGACCCTTTTTTCGTCGCCGTTGTTGATTGTCTCATTATTACAGAAGAACTCAGCTGACAATTTGCTGCTAACTTGACATCACTGTTCCTCCCGCAGTAATGCTATTTCCCTTGCTATATCGTCAATGCCAGCCAGGACCAGGTACCTTGCATATGCAGTTATGCACATCAGAATCAGACATGAGACAACAACGCCTTGGAAAGTTGGACTGCTGCTGGGAGTGAAACCTACGGCGACGGGATGGTTTGAGCAGCCATCTGATTTGTGATTGGTGTACCTGGCTCGGGGGTTGTGCCAGATTTTGCACGGCCTGTGCCAAGGGTTCCAGCGTGATTGGCCAGACCTGACCATGGTAATTTCGGCAAACGCCAAGCTCAAGCCGACAGGAACAGGAAACGGACAAACATCACACACGGAGGCTAGATAACTAGGTAATTAGCTACTCCGTACAGCTCAAAAGTAAAAGGATATGACCATCCCCAGCAGCAACCCCTTGCCCAGTGTCTAGTGGAGATGTTCCAGTCTTCCGAATTCTGGAGTTTAGAGGTCGGGATTCTCGTGTTCAAGGGGAGGCAACTCGGCTCTCAGCTACTGTACCTAGGTAGAATTTAGATACTACTTAGCCTACCGTAGTAGTCAGGATATGCACCACAAACTGTTGTAGACACGTCGGCGTCCCCACTGTGGCTGCTAATCCAAGAGTATCTCACGTTGTCCATGAATGATTTCAGAAGCGGGTTTCTAACTTTGGGTTACCTTACCGACCTTTTCCTCGGCGAGCGTACCCCTGATGAAGGAATGACCAGTAATAAGACGTACCACACCGGTCTTGCATCAGGCTCATTTCCGTCAACCATTGATTGAATCTCCCTACACCCAGGTACCAACTATCTCCAGGGCGCTAAGAAAACAACAACAACAACAACAGTAACAAGAACAAACGGGAGGGCGCCAACCGATTTATTATTGACTTCGTACTATGGAGGTCCATACAGTTCTATCTAGGTAGTCTGTATGCCTGGAGCCTTCGACCCCATTAACCTTCAGTCTTTCTCGCGGAGTGGGGCCCCCTATTTCTATTAGCACGATTATTATTATGATTAATTTAACACTTACAGTAGTAGTATTATTGAACTATCAGCCTTTCTGTCTCTGTCTATCCACTGTTTCCAGCGGCAGTGCCACCCACACAGACTTTCGCTCTCTCAGCCCCCTGGAAGGGTCTGCAGTCTGCACTTACGCCCGTAGCTTCCCCTGGACCGCCATTATTGTTGACTAACAGTCTTTCTCTAACTCTACTTACTCCTCTTCAGTCCCTTTGATCCCCTCCCTTATTTTTTCTCTTTTGCGATCTTACGTTCCTCCAGAGAACCCTGTCTTCTCCGGCTCCTTCGCCTACTGTCCTTGTTTGTGAGATTCCTATCCGACCAGAGGGACTCGTCTTCTCTCTCGCACGCTCTTTTGGGAACCTCGTCTTCCTTCACTCTTTGAAACTCTCATATTCATTTCTAGGTTTCGGCCTTTTGTTGCGACCACAACTTTCAGCGAGCAAACTGAGCTCTGGTGATTTCTAGTTTCTATACCGAGTCTTACCACACGAGCGCGCCTGGGCACTTTGCGATATTGAGGTATGTGCAATTGACCTTCTCCCATCCTTGTCTGCTTTCTAGATTTGCATCACATTAAATTGGGGCACATCCGTGTTCATCTCTGAAAGGTCCGACCCTGAGCGGCGAGGCATCAGAGACAGCAATGGACTCTTATATATCTGTGGCAATGGCGCTTGTTGCATTGAGTGTATGAGAATCTCAATGATGCAATAGATTGGATGCCTTGCAATTAATGTCTCTGAACTCATTTTCTCGTTGGAGTGTACGCTAATTGGCATGGTTATAAGATTACCGACATCTTGGGCCCAATTTTAGGAACGTGAACAAAATGAGGTTCAATACCATTGCTCTTACTCTCGCCACGGCGGGTTCCCTGGTGACCGCTCAACATCACCACCAGCATCGTCGCCACCAGCACAAGCGCGAGAACGTTGTCGAAACTGGTACTACCGTCGTGCAATACGAGCTGGACGGAAAGCCGATCTCTCTTCAAGAGGTGTGTGCCGGTCTGTCTGATGGCACTCTCAAGTTTGCCGACAATGACCATCCTACCGGCGTCTGCGACAACCTGAGCAGCTCCGCTACTCCTACCTCCATGCCTGAGGTCGCCCCCACCTTTGCCCCGGCCAAATTTATCGAGCTCTCTTCCCTTGTCACCCCGGTTTCCCCGACCTCAGACGCAGTCCCGACCCCTACCGCCTCTAGCAGCTCTTCCACCGCCGCTGGTTTGGACGCCGACTTCCCTGATGGAGAACTTGACTGTTCTACCTTCCCATCCCAGTACGGCGCTGTTCCTCTTGACTATCTCGGTCTCCACGGATGGTCTGGTATCCAGTATGTCTCCTATGCCGACAAGGTTATCAGCGAAATTGTGACGGC